CGTGGGCATAAAGTGAATCTGAATAGCTTTATGGCCTTCGGCTGTTGCACAGCAAATTTATCTGACAATTCTGTAACTCTATTAGTAGGACTAATGGCCTGTCCTATGCCATTGAAAAAGCCAAATGCCATTTTTGAAAGCATGTCTACAACAAAAGAAGAAAGGAATGTGTGGGTTTATTTTAACAAGCCATGTCTTGCTTTATAGGCGGAAGCACTACATCCCTTCACAATGTCATCATAAACACTGAGGCTTTAATTGAGGAAGAAAGGGGGATTACATTAATAGATTTTGACAGAATATATTGATTCCCGTGTTTCTCCCACCAAAAATAAACCTTGAGATTTTTTATAATTCTTTCCCACAAACCCCAGTTAACCGTTCAATATTGATATTGAAGAAATAAGGCAATAGTTTGCAACTACTGTTCCAGTTCTAATGAGTAAAATATACTTTTGAAGACTGATTTTGGTTGGAATCTAAAATCTTACAAGCTGTACAGGCTGTTTGGGATTTGGCATTGATAAATAAAGTTTTAGGACTGGATTTAAGCTGAGTCATACTTAAAGGAAACTCATTATTCTGATGTGTCAACTTCAAATGTGACTAAGGACCTCATCACAAATCATGACAAATCCATGAGGTCCCAGTAGGGGATGTGGAGAACCCATCACTCCATGCCCTGCATCACCCGCCTTATCTTGACCCCCATCCTACAGGGGTAAGCGTCACTGCCCAGCTTCCCCTATTGCTCCTAAGTCAACATGGGAAGCCTCCTGTGTTGTCATTATTCTGATGTGTCAACTTCAAATGTGACTAAGGACCTCATCAGAAATCATGATGAATTCATGAGGTCCCAGTAGGGGATGTGGAGAACCCATCACTCCATGCCCTGCATCACCCGCCTTATCTTGACCCCCATCCTACAGGGGTAAGCGTCACTGCCCAGCTTCCCCTATTGCTCCTAAGTCAACATGGGAAGCCTCCTGTGTTGTCATTATTCTGATGTGTCAACTTCAAATGTGACTAAGGACCTCATCAGAAATCATGATGAATTCATGAGGTCCCAGTAGGGGATGTGGAGAACCCATCACTCCATGCCCTGCATCACCCGCCTTATCTTGACCCCCATCCTACAGGGGTAAGCGTCACTGCCCAGCTTCCCCTATTGCTCCTAAGTCAACATGGGAAGCCTCCTGTGTTGTCATTATTCTGATGTGTCAACTTCAAATGTGACTAAGGACCTCATCAGAAATCATGATGAATTCATGAGGTCCCAGTAGGGGATGTGGAGAACCCATCACTCCATGCCCTGCATCACCCGCCTTATCTTGACCCCCATCCTACAGGGGTAAGCGTCACTGCCCAGCTTCCCCTATTGCTCCTAAGTCAACATGGGAAGCCTCCTGTGTTGTCATTATTCTGATGTGTCAACTTCAAATGTGACTAAGGACCTCATCAGAAATCATGATGAATTCATGAGGTCCCAGTAGGGGATGTGGAGAACCCATCACTCCATGCCCTGCATCACCCGCCTTATCTTGACCCCCATCCTACAGGGGTAAGCGTCACTGCCCAGCTTCCCCTATTGCTCCTAAGTCAACATGGGAAGCCTCCTGTGTTGTCATTATTCTGATGTGTCAACTTCAAGTATGACTAAGGATCTCATCACAAATAATGACAAATCCATGAGGTCCCAGTAGGGGATGTGGAGAACCCATCACTCCATGCCCCGCATCACCCGCCTTACCTTGACCCCCATCCTACAGGGGTAAGCGTCACTGCCCAGCTTCCCCTATTGCTCCTAAGTCAACATGGGAAGCCTCCTGTGTTGTCATTATTCTGATGTGTCAACTTCAAATGTGACTAAGGACCTCATCAGAAATCATGATGAATTCATGAGGTCCCAGTAGGGGATGTGGAGAACCCATCACTCCATGCCCTGCATCACCCGCCTTATCTTGACCCCCATCCTACAGGGGTAAGCGTCACTGCCCAGCTTCCCCTATTGCTCCTAAGTCAACATGGGAAGCCTCCTGTGTTGTCATTATTCTGATGTGTCAACTTCAAATGTGACTAAGGACCTCATCAGAAATCATGATGAATTCATGAGGTCCCAGTAGGGGATGTGGAGAACCCATCACTCCATGCCCTGCATCACCCGCCTTATCTTGACCCCCATCCTACAGGGGTAAGCGTCACTGCCCAGCTTCCCCTATTGCTCCTAAGTCAACATGGGAAGCCTCCTGTGTTGTCATTATTCTGATGTGTCAACTTCAAATGTGACTAAGGACCTCATCAGAAATCATGATGAATTCATGAGGTCCCAGTAGGGGATGTGGAGAACCCATCACTCCATGCCCTGCATCACCCGCCTTATCTTGACCCCCATCCTACAGGGGTAAGCGTCACTGCCCAGCTTCCCCTATTGCTCCTAAGTCAACATGGGAAGCCTCCTGTGTTGTCATTATTCTGATGTGTCAACTTCAAGTATGACTAAGGATCTCATCACAAATAATGACAAATCCATGAGGTCCCAGTAGGGGATGTGGAGAACCCATCACTCCATGCCCCGCATCACCCGCCTTACCTTGACCCCCATCGTCACTCCCCCCTTTGCTCCTAAGTCAACATGGGAAGCCTCCTGTGTTGCCATGGTGGTAATATGCTGCTTGCTCTCCTCTTTCAACATGGAGCGTGACTAGAAGTACACGGGCATCATGTAATGGGCTCTGTGCTGAAAAAAGAGAATAAACAGCGTACGACGGGCAAAGTAGCCCATCTTATGAGGTCGCGAGGGCCCATCTACATTGAAATTTTAATGCAGTTCCAAGCTGATTCAAAACTGTCGTGGCCACAAAACGCATGCCACCAATATGTGCTGCAGTGCACATTAAAAGTGGACACAGCACGTTTTTAAATGTAACTAGAAAGCCCAGAACAAGCCCTATAATGTGCTGCAGCAGATCCAAAAATGTCCCACATCCAGGGCGAAATTGGCTCTGCAAAATGCGGAGCACATTGTAGATGCCTACACTGCTGATGGGCATTATAGGATCCAGTATGAGATGCCCTCAAAATGTTCCAAGGATATGGCTGGACAATATTTATTTATTTATTTATTTATTTACTTCTTTTGTATACCGCAAATATCAGCCTAAAAAGGCGACTCGAAGCGGTTTAGAGGCTAACTGACACCCTAGGAGGAGGAATTTATTATCTCCACTCTTGGCTATAATTATAGAATCATAGAATCAAAGAGTTGGAAGAGACCTCATGGGCCATCCAGTCCAACCCCCTGCCAAGAAGAAGGAATATTGCATTCAAATCACCCCTGACAGATGGCCATCCAGCCTCTGTTTAAAAGCTTCCAAAGAAGGAGCCTCCACCACACTCCGGGGCAGAGAGTTCCACTGCTGAACGGCTCTCACAGTCAGGAAGTTCTGCCTCATGTTCAGATGGAATCTCCTCTCTTGTAGTTTGAAGCCATTGTTCCGCATCCTAGTCTCCAAGGAAGCAGAAAATAAGCTTGCTCCCTCCTCCCTGTGGCTTCCTCTCACATATTTATACATGGCTATCATATCTCCTCTCAGCCTTCTCTTCTTCAGGCTAAACATGCCCAGCTCCTTAAGCCGCTCCTCATAGGGCTTGTTCTCCAGACCCTTGATCATTTTAGTCGCCCTCCTCTGGACACATTCCAGCTTGTCAACATCTCTCTTGCATTGTGGTGCCCAGAACTGGACCCAATATTCCAGGTGTGGTCTAACCAAAGCAGAATATTTTTTTTACTGCCTTTGGAGGACTGGTGCGCATCTCTGCAGGAGATGGGGGAAAAGACTTGCACAGTGGTTTGAGGCCACTTTCCATGTTCAATGCAATCAGCTTCCTGGCTTCAAACCGATCCCAGACATGGCCATCTATCCACTTGCACAGCAAAATTAGTTTCTGCCAAACCAGTTTCAAGCTGCATTGTGATGTCAGTGTAGGTGTGCCCTAAATAAATATCAATTTTTATTGTCATCATTACAAACTTTATAGTCCTCTTTCCCTCAAACCAGAACTCAAGGCAGATTATATATCAAAATGGGTATAATACAGCCAAAAATATCAACATTAAAATGGAATCAAGCCAACAATATTGAAAGCAATAACAAAAACAGTTAAAACAGTGCAATTAAAATGAAACGATTAAACTTTAAAATACTTACATTTAAGTAAAATAGTAAAATTTATTTTCAGGTTTTACAATGTATTGTAATGTAATATAGCTGAGTCATGCACTGCTAATGGGCTTCTATTGGAAATGCTGAGTCATGCATTAACTGTATATAGGGAATCATTTGGGGAATGTGTTCTGGCCTAGTCCAGGTGATTGTGAATGATGTAATCCTGGGTCTGAGTTAAGTTAATGAGTTGGGAACCAATCAGAGATTGCTATGTGTAATTGTATAGAATTGTATATAAGGAAGTCATGTACAGTGTATACTCTCTCCTTGTGCTGTGATGTTGTTCGTCGAAGGCTATATGTAATTAAAAGAACCTGTCTGCTAAGACAAGATATAACTGTGTGCTGTGGTAAGTTTGTAATGTCATCTAGACTGGGGGAAAAACAATAGTAAAACTGACAATGGCTGGGCATGTGCTCAAGTGTCTGTAAAAGGTTCCAGAGTGACTGCAGGCTGTGGGAGCAGTTGACTGAAAATACTGTGCAGGAAGAAGCTACTGGAAAGCGCTGAAGTTGTGCAACTGATCTGCTGCTGAATTGCTGAAATTAATCTCAACATTTATAAAATCACAAAATAGCAAAGAGTAAAATAGTTGAGAGGAGAACTGGAAAATCAGGAATGATAGGCAGGTGTTGGCTTGGTGGGCATGAGCCCCTTACATTTACTTTCTGATTAAGAAGGCACTGTTTGAGGAATATCATAGACTAATAATTGGTTATGGTTTTTAAGTTATTTCAAAGCACAGCTGACTTGCTTCTCTGTTTCCTGAACTAGGTTCCAACCACCATGGAGATGTTCTGCTGCTACGGCCCTGTGATCCCAAATGGTTATGGGGCCTGCTACAATCCACAGCCAGGGCATATCTTGTTCTGCATTTCCAGTTTTAAAGACTGTCAAGAAACGTCCTCCAGCAAATTTGCAAAAGCCCTGGGAGAAAGCCTCATGGATATGAAGGAGCTGTGCAACAAATGCAACTCGACTCCAACCAGCAGCCCAGCTAAACAAGGAGCATCCTCAACGTCAAAGCTGGGCCACAAGCATTAACCTCTGTGCCTGCTCTCCTTTTTCCTCTTCTCCATTCTGCAGATGCTTTTCAGGTAGAATTATGCTGCTCTCCGAGAGATAGCCATAAAGCAGAGCTGCTTTCAGTCTTCTCCATTCTGCACCTGTGTTGGACTTCTGATCCCATCATCCTCAATCTGGGGATGCTGGGGTTGGTGCTCTAGCACATTTGGAGGATGCCAGAGAAGGCTAATCTGCTTATTGCAAGGGAAAACATCCATTTCTCTTTGGCTCAGATTCCTACCAGATGATATCTTAAATTACTTTAAGAGCTGGTGTTTCAGCTCTGCACAAAATTAATGTATTAATTATCGATCTCAGAAATGGAGCCACATAGAATTCATCTTAATGTGTATTTAGAAATATCCAGTTAGCAAGAAGTCATATTTAAGAACAGTTGTGGATAAAGTGCACTATAACTGCCAAAGTACGCTCTTGTTGCTCGGAAGTCACTTGTGCCCTGTCAGCACCCCCATAAACTCATCACACTTCCTTTTTTAGCATCCTAGGATGCTAAAAGGACAGTCCAGCAATGGATGGGCACACTGCCCATCACACAACGTTGCTGGAATTCTTGTTGAAGCTCCAGCCACAACCAGAGTGGAAGCGTCGTAGGACACTTCTCTCCTTAAATGGGAACCAGCACACTTCAGCACTGCTTTGATGACACTTCCCCTGTGTGATGGTGATGTCCCCCATATGATGGCGCTTTCACTGACCACAGAGGCTGGCAAAACAGAGCAGCGGGAGTTGGGTCATCCATGTGATGAGGTTGCCAGTCAAACATTCAGCAGAAGTTTTCTCTTCTTCCCCCATCCCAAGGAACCCAAACTCAATACGAAGATGAAACAACAACAAACATGTCTGATGAACATTGCAGGTATTCAGTTTTGGTAGTGGTCAATTTTTCCCCATATACTACTAAATCTTTTGAGACACAATACCATATTGTTGACAGAGCTCTGGACACAGTCTCAGGTTCAAATACCCCATGCAACCCCTAACCCAGGGGTCCTCAAACTAAGGCCTGGGGGCCGGATATGGCCCTCCAAAGTCATTTACCCGGCCCTCGCTGAGGGTCAACCTAAGTCTGAAATGACTTGAAAGCACACAACAACAAGAACAACAACAACCCTATCTCATCAGCCAAAAGCAGGCCCACACTTCCCATTGAAATACTAATAAGATTATATCTGTTAAAATTGTTCATTTTAATTATTGCATTGTTTTAAAGTGGTTTTTTTGCACTACAAATTAGATATGTGCAGTGTGCATAGGAATTCATTCATATATTTTTTCAAATTATAATCTGGCCCTCCAACAGTGTGAGGGACTGTGACCTGGCCCTCTGTATAAAAAGTTTGAGGACCCCTGCCCTAACCAGTCACATTTGTAGGATCCCTCAGGGAGTGGCCATAACTTTGCCAGTAAAAAAACGCCCCACTTTCAATGTCCAGTGGTCCTACCACCATTTCCTCCAAGTGACTCACCACCTCATCATATGGGCAAAATTGCCTGCCCTGTGCTGCTTTTCCCCCTCTTCAGCCACAGAACCTGCCGGCTTCCATCCCACAATATCGATTGAATTCTGGTGGGGTTTTGTGGTGCAAATGTAGAGGAACCAGCTTGTGCCACAGCAGTGATAACACAGGAGGTTTTCCATGTTGCATAAGGACCAACAGAGGGAAGCTGGGCAGAGGACACTTCCCCCATGGGTTGTTTTTGTGTGTGTGCATCAGGAGTGACTTGAGAAAATGCAAGTCACTTCTGGTGTGAGAGAATTGGCCGTCTGCAAGGACGTTGTCCAGGGGACACCCGGATGATTTGATGTTTTTTATCATCCTTGTGGGAGGCTTCTCTCATGTCCCCGCATGAGGAGCTGGAGCTGATAGAGGGAACTCATCCACCTTTCCCTGGATTCGGACCTGCGACCTGTTGGTCTTTAGTCCTGCCGGCACAGGGGTTTAACCCACTGTGCCACCGGGGGCTCCTGGGTTGAGGTAATGGGGAAGCTGGGCCATGTGTGGTGTGGGGTGACGGGTTCCCCATGCCAGGCACTGCCATGCCAGGCACTATCCATGGCAAATTGGTGGCTTAATGTGATGAGGTCCTCAATCTAATGAATCCTTTGACTTTTTTTTCACCACTTTAAAATTGTCCTAGCTTATGTGTTCTGCCTTATTTATAACATTTTACCACAGTGGTTCTCAACCTATGGGTCCCCAGATGTTTTAGCCTTCAACTCCCAGAAATCCTAACAGCTGGTAAACTGGCTGGGATTTCTGGGAGTTGTAGGCCAAACCACCTTGGGACCCACAGGTTGAGAACCACTGTTTTACCATATTGTCTGCACTTCTATATTATTTGGCCATTCTCTGATATTATGTGTCTCAGTTTTCACCTGTGAAATGTTAGAGGGCATGTACCACTGTAGCCTGAACAGTAGTCCCAGGCAACAATGCCACTTCCCTGAGAAACCCAAGAAATGCTTCCTGATCTACCAGCCAATGCCAATAATAGAATAGATGAGTGATTGTGTTCCATGTTCCTGACATGTTCTTTTGATTGAACTCATCAATATAAATGACGTTCTGTGACATTCCACTGTCTCCCCTCCCCACATGCAGTGCTACCATCCATCTTCACATATCTAAGGATATGTTAGATTGTTTTCTCCAGTTGTGCTCCCTGTAAACCGCAGAGCAACCTGTGTATTCCTAATAGCTGATGCAGCCAACAAAATCACCAACACCAGGAAAAATATAATAACTTTTTCAAGAAACACCAAACACTCATTGAGTTGCGTGCCAAAAAATGAAAACACTACTTAATATTAGAACTAGACAAATTTCAGAGTCAGGGATATGTTAAAGTCCTTTTGAAACCAGATCCTCTGTGCCAAATACAATCCATTAGCATCTGGTTGAATTAATGCATGTAACGAATATGTGTAACTTGGATACAACTTATCTCTGTGTGCTGTCAAATGATGTGGCGTGGTTGATTCCTGCACATCTATCAGTTATACCTTTCTATGAACGTGCCATGTTTTATAATAACGCTGTGATGTTTTGTGTGTGTGAACAAACATGCATTTCAGGGAATGACTAATCCTTGAGCCTCTAAATAATATTCTGGTGTTAGCTGTTAGGGTAGCCGAATGCCATGTTATTCTGCAGCTTCGAAATATATAACCACAGCATGTGTATCTATGCAAAGTGAATAAGATAGCTACCTGGGTGTTCAGCTACAAAATGGACCATAGACAATAAGTGTGTGGAGGGTTTGGATGGAGAGGCTGAATCTAGAAATATTGTATTCGTTTTGGTTTATGAAGTCATTCTATTGCAAAAGAAATTGTCTTCATGGATCTGTCTCCATCAGAAGTTCCAGATAAAAGAAACCAGGGCAATAGCAGCATAAAACAGTAGCTGTTACAATCCAGTTGTAGCTGACCAGTACTTGATATAAGACTTGATATATTATCTTAGCAAAAGAAAGTGGGTTGCATTTCCCCCTGGACACCTTCATACCCCAAAGGAAGCCATCCATCCAAACTATGCCACTTGGTCTGGTCCTGCCAAGTTGACATGTAGTAAGAAGAAAGCCTGGCTTGGAGTGGATGACTCCGAGTGCAAATTCTATAAAGCTCTGTAAGCTGAGGTTGGTCATTCATACTTAGCCAACTGTATTCCACAAATGGTGGTAGTGGTGTATGCAGAGGCGGCCCTAGGTAATTTTCAACAGTAAGCAAATAGTATTTTGGCACCCCTTCCCCCCACCAATCATTAATATGGAGCAGGAACAAGAGGGGCTACGCGAGGCTCAAGGGCCCAGCCCCTTCGGGAAGAGGATTGCCCAGCAGTGAGGCAAGGAAGCCGAGGCTCCCCCCGGACTGCTAGGGCTGTTGTGAGCCGAGGAGGCGCTCCTCAAGTGGTGGTTGAGGGGCATTTACAGAGGCGCCTCTGCGCCCCTGGCAAAAAAAAAGTGTACCGCAACTGCGTACTTTGCGTAATGGACGAGCCGCCCCTGGGTGTATGTGTACCTTCAAGTGATCTGTTGACTTAATGATGACCTGATGAATTTCATAGGATTTTCTTAGGCAAAGAACCGTTGGAAGTGGCGGGCCATTGCCTTCTTCTTAGAGGTGCATGAATGCAGCTCTGGACTCCTTGGAAGAAAACAAAATCAAAAATATAGCCAGCCATCCTATCAACTGTGTAGATCATTGGGCAACCAGAGAAAAAGTTATTTCATTAGGTATTAATTATTACTGTGCTAAGACAGTCATAGAATCATAGCATCAAAGAGTTGGAAGAGACCTCATGGGCCATCCAGTCCAACCCCCTGCCAAGAAGCAGGAATATTGCATTCAAATCACCTTGACAGATGGCCATCCAGCCTCTGTTTAAAAGCTTCCAAAGAAGGAGCCTCCACCACAGTCTGGGAACTGGTTCTCCCAAAAAAAAAAAACTAAGGAAAACCAGCAAGGACTGGAATGCTAGACCTGGAAGCACCAGTCTGTGGAATCCAGTGTTCCTAATCATAATAGCTTTTGAGTACTCCCATTTCATGCAATATACGTGTAGAGACACACAAAGGCAATATAAAGCCAAATCAAGCACTTTAGTATACATAGTAAGAGGGTTTTGTTTTGTTTTCCTGTGTTTTCCAATGGACACTTTGGCTGGATCTATACTACCAAATAATGCAGTGTGAGTTGCTGTGAATTTTCCGGGCTGTATGGCCATGTTCCAGAAGCAGGCATGTAGCCGGGGGGGGGGGGGGGGTTGAGGGACTTCAGCCCCTCCCGAAATTCTCATGGTGGTTCGCGAAAAGGCCTTACTGGTGCATTATTTAAACTGTTATGTTTATTCATATCATGATCTGATCACCATACTCAATATATCCCATATGCATGGGGGTATTGGGGTAATGATACAAAAGGTTTGCTAGGGTAGACCCTCTTTCACTAAGACTCAGCTCCCCCCCCCCAAACCCCCCCCGAAACGAAATCCTGGCTATTGGCCTTTCCAGAAGCATTGTCTCCTGATGTTTTGCCCACATCTATGGCAGGCATCCTCAGAGGTTGTGAGGTAGAGGTTCAGAGTAGACCCAGGTAATGCATCTTAAATTGCATTGAACTGCATTATATGGGTTGACACTGACCACATAATGCAGTTAAACTGCATTATTTGGGAGTGTAGATCCAGCCTTTGTTGAAGGTAGAGGGTGGGGGGAGATTTTCATTGGAGTGTATGGGAAAGGTGTATGCCTCTTCCCATACATTGTAGTCCTGAACCTATGCTCCTACCCTCATAGCTGCTATTTACTCCGGAAAGGCAACATGTTAATTGCATTCACCAGCGAGTATCACATCCAATTTGATCCAGTAGATACATTTTTGCTCCAGACTGCAGACATGCTGGAGCTGCCAGAACAAGACCAAGGGGCAATATATCCCAACTTTTTATATTGTGTGCTACATAATACCTAAAAGTTAATATTTTCGTGATATTTTATTTTTATAATATAGTCTAGATTTATGGCAAACCGAAGGTGTATTTATAATCTCTTTGTTTATGCCAAGCTGTTTTCTGCTTCAAAGATATATCTCATTCTGATAGGCAATATCAAAAGTGAACTGTAGACTGATATTATAAATCCAAAAAAAACAATGATTATAAATCTATGGACAATAAAAATGTAGCAAAGAAAATGTGTATGACTTTTATTTTTTAAAAAAAAAAAAACAGCAACCAGTAAATACTTTAACTTCCTCTCTTACAATGACATTTATAAGAATCTCAGCAAGGTTTCGTGGTTTTTTTTCCTAGCCATTATTTCCATGTGACTCATAAACTCAGGAGTCAGGGAGATATTTTTGCACCTGTGTTTAGATTATGTTCTGAGATAGGCACTGTGTTTCTTAATTCTTGCATTGGAATTTTTATATGTTGCTGTTGTTGTTGTTTTTGTGTACTTTCAAGTCATTTTCAACCAACTCTCCTTTACTTCGGAATTATAGTCCAACATGCAAATCACTATCCCACACTTTCAAACATTTCACAAATAAAAACTGGAATATGTGCCGATCATCAGAAGCAGAGGCGGCCCTAGGTAATTTTCAATGGTAAGCAAACAGTATTTTGGCACCCC